TGAAGGAGACTTACCAGAATAACATGCAAGGTCTGATCTTCATGGGTTTGAAATCCCAGCTCTCTCCCCCCTCTTGTTTTCTGAAAATAATAAGGTATTTTCTTCTTTTTTTTTTTTTTTTCCTTCCTGTAACTGGTATTTTCTTTAATGCTATGTGGCTTTAGCCTGCTAACTTTGACTGTACTCTGCATTCTCTGGTCAAGTGGAGATCAAACAGCAAAATGTTGCTTCACAAGTGACAAGTCTGGTTTCCATCCACTTTGTAGCTGTGTTTCCAGGAGATAGAGGGCTTTAGAGAAGATGCTGCCATTTCAGCTAGCAGCTGTATCATTAGGGAGTTCAGAAAAGCTCAAGTGCAATCTTAGGTTCTGTTTATGAGGCTTGAATGGAGCAACAGATGGGGATGATGAAGAGCAGGTGACAGCAGTGCTATGGTGGAGACAGGACTCTCTCCTTTCTCCAGGCAATGCAGCATAGATGAGCAGCAGCCAGCCCAAGGCAATGCCATGTGACAAGCACACTTGTCTCCTGGAGGCAAAAGGAACCATCCTAAATCAGAACTGTTGAAAAAGGGAGGTCATCAAGAGATGAGGAGATGATTATTAAGTGTTAAGCTTTAATGGGGATGAACACAGATATATGACAGGGATGTGTAGCAGTGGTAATTTCTCATGCTGGAATTATATGTAGCTACCCATTAAATACAAAACTAATTTTGCATACATTTTAGAATAAAGTATTTTTGACAATTTTAAATTAATGAAAAGATCTTATAATAATAATAATAATAATAATAAAAAATACTTAACCTACCTTTGAGTCCTTCCTCTGTCATCTACTATCATTGTCTAACAATTTGAATCCCCGTTTGGTGTTGGATAGTGACTTTGCCCTTTCAGTGTTCAGCAGTTTCTCATTTAAGCACCCTCTTACTTTATAACCTTGGACTTGGTCTAGCTGTGTGCCTGCATACCTGAATGCTAACTTCTTTCCTTTCACTTGGATATTCATTCAATTGTGTCCCCCAGTAACACTGAAAATTTTGCCAGAGAAATTACAGGAGAGAGGAAAACTTCCTAGTAAAATACTTTGGTGTTTCATTTTGGTTGAAGTATGATGTTTCTTTAATCAATGATAGTTATTAACTGATCTTCAGACTGGTGACAGAATTACAATGAAAACATTTTTTTCATTGGAGTAGTTAAGACAGTAGTAATGACTCATTAATGCTGTTTTTAGTCTCCAGTGCAATACAAATGAATTATATATCCCTGTAAAATTTGAGCGCACTGTCCTGCTTTTTTTATCTTTCTTTTTCTTTCAAGTACAACACAGTAATATGTGTTGAAATAGTTTTGTGTGGCTTAGGATTTTGCAGCTTTGTCTAATACCCAGCCTATACCAGCTCTGGAATTCCATTTATTCCAGATGTATTTGAAGAACCCTCTCAGCTAAATATATTCTGCTAAAGCCTGTGGTTTCAATTATTAATCATCTCCTGTTTATAACTTAAAATGTAATTTTCATTGGTGTAATTTCCCTATATTTTTACTGCTGTGCTTCTTACTGCTGCTCATAACTTCCATCCTAACTAGGATCATTATTACAATCAGATGACCTCTTTGTGCTTTCGGAACTGAGTGTTTTTGAAGGGAAGGAGACACTTCTGTATTAAGATCTGGATGTTATTTACAGTTTTTAGTTTGCTTGCTGGTTTTACACATATATTTTTATATTTGCACACCCGACGTTTTAAGAAAAATGAAAACAAACCAGCCAAAACCCTTCTGGTTTTCTGATAATTACCTACTACGTATTTTAATTGTATACATTAATGTAATTTGTGTATTTGTGGTTATTACAAGAGATGCCATGTGATTCACAGGCCAAAAGCATCACTGTGATCAGCTAAGACGTCTTCACAGATGGAAGCTATTGAGTTGTGTGTGATAACTTCTGCATCAGTTGCAATTACCAGTGTCTGGGAATTGCATGTCCATCTGGTTACAGTAAGACATTGAAATATGCTGTTGCTGTAAATCTATAACAAACACATGCAGCTTGTTACAGTTTCTTTCTACTTGTACGGAAGAACCAGTTAATTACTTGGAGATGATCCTGGAAGATCTTGTAGTTGTTAATTTTGTGGGAATATTCATTTATATTGTGTAATTTTTATGTTTGTGTCAAGAAACAAGGAATAATGTTTAATGGCTGTGGTCCAGCACATATTTTTCAACATCTGTGGTAAGAAATGAAGTCATTTTCAAGAGAAGGAACAGACTCATTAAACAGCAACTGGTTTCCTCAGCTTATGGTTCTGTTTGCTTGTATTCGACACATAAAGGGTGGGATTTGGGTGTAGGTTGTACCCTGCTCAGTGATGATCAACCCATAGCAGGCAGAGGCAGAGATATAGTTTGTGTGCTTCCTGGGTTGTCTGAGACGGCCTCTTATAAACAGGGCAAACAAGAATTTGGGGCAGAGAACTTTCTACTTATTCCTTCTCAATTCAGACCTTTCAAGTAATTTCATTCTTCATTTTTTGTGTTTTCCTAACATAAAGCTTTCCTTGTCTCCTCTCACCTGCCCTACTTATGAACTTCCCTCTTGCAACTCCGAAACAGTGTTGTTAATCATAGAATCATAGAATAGTTAGGGTTGGAAAGGACCTTAAGATCATCAAGTTCCAACCCCCCTGCCATGGACAGGGACAACTAACACTAAACCATATCACCCAAGGCCTTGTCCAACCTGGCCTTGAACACTGCCAGGGGTGGATCATTTACAACCTCCCTGGGCAACCCATTCCAGTGCCTCACCACCCTTATAGTAAAGATTTTGCTCCTTATATCCAATCTAAACTTCCCCTGTTTAAGTTTTAACCCATTACCCCTTGTCCTATCACTACAGTCCCTAATGAAGAGTCCCTCCCCAGCATCCCTATATGCCCCCTTCAGATACTGGAAGGCTGCTATGAGGTATCCAGGCTGAACAGCCCCAACTTTCTCAGCCTGTCTTCATATGGGAGGTGCTCCAGTCCCCTGATCATCCTTGTGGCCTCCTCTGGACTTGTTCCTACAGTTCCATGTCCTTTTTATGTTGAGGACACCAGAACTGCACACAATGCTCCAAGTGAAGTCTCATGAGAGCAGAGTAGAGGGGCGGGATCACCTCCTTCGACCTGCTGGTCACACTCCTTTTGATGCAGCCCAGTTTACGGTGGCTTTCTGGGCTGTGAGCACACACTGAAGCCGGCTCATGTTCATTTTCTCATTGACCAGCACCTCCAAGTCCTTCTCCTTGGGCTGCTCTGAATCTCTTCTCTGCTCAGCCTGTACCTGTGCCTGGGATTGCTCTGACCCAGGTGTAGGACCTTGCACTTGTCATGGTTAAACATCATGAGGTTGGCATCAGCCCACTTCACAAGCGTGTCAAGGTCCCTCTGGATGGCATTCCTTCCCTCTAGTGTATCAACCGAACCACACAGCTTGGCGTCATTGGCAAACTTGCTGAGCGCGCACTCAATCCCACTGTCCATGTCAGCGACGAAGATGTTGAACAGGACCGGTCCCAACACTGATCCCTGAGGGACACCACTTGTTACTGGTGTCCAGCTGGACATGGAGCCATTGATCACAACTCTTTGTGTGCGGCCATGCAGGCAGTTCTTTATCCACCAAGTGGTCCACCCATCAAATTGATGTCTCTCCAATTCAGAGACAAGGATGTCATGTGGGACAGTTTCGAACGCTTTACACAAGTCCAGACAGATGACATCAACTGCTCTACCCCTGTCCATCAGTTCTGTAGCCCTATCATAAAAGGCCACCAAATTGGTCAGGCAGGATTTCCCCTTAGAGAAGCCATGCTGGCTGTCACCAAGGACTTTATTGACTTTCATGTGCCTTAGCATGCCTTCCAGGAGAATCTGCCCCATGATTTTGCCAGGCACAGAGGTGAGACTGACTGGTCTGTAATTCCCCGGGTCATCTGTTTTCCCCTTCTTGAAAATGGAGGTTATATTTCCCTTTTTCCAGCCGTCGGGAACTTCACCTGACTGCCATGATCTATCAAATATGATGGACAGTGGCTTAGCAACTTCATTTGCCATCTCCTTCAGGACCCACGGATGGATTTCATCAGGACCCATGGACTTGTGCATGTTCAGATTTTTAAGATGGTCACGAACCAATTCCTCTCCTACAGTGGGCCCAAGGTCTTCATTCTCACAGCCCTTGCGTCTGCCTTCCAAGACTTGGGTGATGCGGTCAGAGCCTTTGCCAGTGAAGACCGAGGCAAAGGAGTCATTCACAACCTCAGCCTTCTCCAAATCCTGTGTAACTAGTTCACCTGAGAGCTTCCTGAGGGGCCTACATTCTCCCTAGTCTGTTTTTTATTTGCTATGTACCTGTAGAATCCCTTCCTGTTAGCCTTAATATCCCTAGGCAAGTTTAATTCTAAGTGGGCCTTAGCTTTCCTAACCTGGTCCTTAGCTTCCAGGACAATATCCCTGTACTCTTCCCAGGCCGCCTGTCCTTGCTTCCACTTTCTGTATGACTCTTTTTTCATCTGAATTTTCCTCAGCAATCCAGTACCACTCTTAACCTTATGTATGTCCCTGTCTTTTCTTGCCATGACTGTACCATTTCCTGTGTCTTTCCAAGACCTGACTTTCATATCAGTCCTTTTGACTGTTTAATAAACAGTGCTTTCTCATTTTCCCAAAAGCTGGTATTTGTCTGCCTTCAAATTGCTCCTTTGGGTTCAACAAGTAAGCAGCTCTAAGATTGCCATTTGATACAAATCTTTTTATATTTTTGCACAGTGATTTTCTATTTTTCCCATCAGTAAGAATCCATGAAAGCTGTGGTCTCTGGGGCCCGTTATTGATCAGATGTTTAATATCCCCCATTCCCTACAAAAAGAATATTGTTTTGTTTTGTTCAGTGGTTTGGGTGTTTTTCAAGTGGATGACAACTGTCTCTTTCCTCTTGTAGATCCAGGTTTGCACAGGCAGCAGTTCTTCCTGCAGCGACCGTCTAACGTGGTGGCAATGGAAGGGAAGGATGCTGTTCTGGAGTGCTGCGTTTCTGGGTACCCGCCTCCCACCTTTACATGGCTGCGAGGAGATGAAGTGCTCCCCATCAGGTAGCTCAGTCCTTTGTGCATCACATATCTTAATGCTACATTCCTAGGGCAAACTAAAGGCAAACCACTGAGTGATGTTTTAAATTCAGTAGGGTGGACTTGGAGGCCATGAGATTTTTCCTCCTAAATAATAATGAGGCTGGATGTGTCTCTTAACCTGCTGCTATAACTCATCTTGTGGCTGCCCCATCCCTGGCAGTGTTCAAGGCCAGGATGGATGGGGCTTGAAGCAACCTGCTCTAGTGGAATGTGCCCCTGCCCTTGGCAGGGGTTTAGAACTGGACAATCTTTAAGGTTCTTTCCAACCTAGACTGTTCTGTGATTCTGTGATAACTTTGGGAGCCAGTTCTGACCCTGTCTAATACTATGGCTGATACTATGACCTCTGCACCAAATCCAAGTGTGGAATTTGGTCATAATTGTGATCTGGCTGCTAGTTAAAATTGAAGGGCAAAGCTGTTAGCAGCAAAGATAGTAGCCGAGTATTACTTAGGGTGTAATATACTGTGTGTATTTTTCTACATTGTGATAACACCTTAACACACTGCGAACACGTTACCAATGTTTCAGGTCCAAAAAATATTCCTTGCTGGCTGGGAGTAACCTCCTCATATCGAATGTGACTGAAGATGATTCTGGAACATACACATGTGTGGTCACCTACAAAAATGAGAACAGCAGTGGCTCTGCAGAGCTGTCAGTGATGGGTGAGTACATGAACTGTGGTTTTCCGGAATGACTTTATGTTCAGAACTCCAAATAACTGCAAACTGTACAAGTCCCTCCCCTGGTCTGCTCAGGTATTCACACCTATGAAAGCCATCCTGTGAATCTCTAAATACCTTCCACCATGCTCAATAGTCTTTCTGCTGCTGAACATCTTACATTTTCAGATGCTAATTGCTACTGCCTAATGCGCATGGTCCTTTTATTTCTTTTTCCTGAAGCCACATTTTTGGCCTTAAAATGGTTGTATCTGTTGTGCATGACATTAAGCACAGCGGGTTGGAAAACAGATTGAAAGCTTTTCGGGTTTTTACTTATTTGTCATGAGCAGCCAACATGGTGAGAAAAGAAAAATCAGTGTATTTAGCATCTTCTCATCAAATTTACAAAAAATTCGGATACATGTATGGAAGTCCTCACTCAGCAGTGATGTTTTCAGAATTCTCACTGTTAAATCTAACGAAAGCACCCTCTGACAGAACCTGCTTTCCTCCACACTCCTTCCTCATGACAAATATTAATGAAATCCAAAATCTGTTTAAATCTAATAGCTGCCTTTTTCCTTTTTGCTTTATTTAAACCACTGAACAATAGCAGAGCACATTAGTGTTACTCAGTAAGATCTGAAGAACGGCATAGTTAGTACTTAGTCAAACAATAACGTGTTTCAATGTGCTGTTCATTTTGCATTCCGGCTTTAAAGCTTATGCGTGAAAAATACTTTCATTAGTGAATAGAGCCTTAATTTGGATTATAGGATATTCAGTGCTTGTATAACAATATCCTTTTATGAAGCCATAATAAAATATAGTAATTAGTGGTGATGGAGGGTTCAGTTCTATTTCTTTAGGTACATTAATGTGATACATTCTTTTACTGGATAAAAATAAAAACGTGACTTTATAATTGTGGAAGCTTATTAACTACGGAATCATTTTCATTACAAGGAATCAAATATTGAAAAGGCAGGTAAGTTGTTGGGCAGTACACTTTATTTGCCTTACCAGAATGTGTTGACTCAAAATCTAGTGTGCAGCAGGGATTAACTGTTACTTGAGAAGTAGAAACACCAATATTTTTCCCCAGCAAGAGACTGCAATGTCTGCTGGTGAGAACAACTGTGGCAGGAGGATCATGACATAGATCATGTCTGACCATGCAGTTCCTGTGAAAATTAACAGGAGATTTGCATCTTAGACGTTCATGTACCTATTGAAAAATTTATTCCTGTCTGCAGTCAGTCTCTAATGCATCTAACTTTGCTTCATTTTGCCTTCTGTTCTGTGTCATGTAGAAACTAAGGGTACATAAATTTTCATGCGCATTGAGAGGAATGCAATGGCAAAATGACATAACTATAAGGGTGAGTTTAAGGTGATAAAAATCTCTCCAGAAGACAGAATACCAAGGTAGTGATAAGAATGAAACTAGACTAACACAAAGATGAAAGAACTCACAATTGCTGATTCTATGCAGTCTCAAGGGAAAACTAAAACGGCATTGCCCTGGCCCAACACAGTAGCATTCACCCTTGTTGGTAGAGCAAAAGTTTATTTGATAAAGTTTCTGTTCACATAGGAAGTTCACAAATACAGAATTAAAAAACAAAAAAAGAAAAAAAAAGAAAAAAAAAGAATGTTGTAACTTAGGCGCAATATTGATGTACATTTCTTATTTTCATGAGCAAATCACTCATTTGTGACAGACTTAACTGAAAAATGAACACCATGTTCGTGAATGTTTGTATTAGTAACAGAAAATGCTCACAGAATTCAAAGGATATTACATGACTAAACTGGAGAGATGATGACAGAGATCCCCTGATAACTTTCTTTGCAGAGTAATGTGACAGAACTCTGAACTTGTTCAGAATCTGTTTATTTTCTGAATTCATCCTTATTGGTAGGAATCTCTCAAAAGCACTGAAGTTTCTCATGTAATCACTGTATCTCATAAACAGAATAATTGATTGAGAGTTTTCTTTTCTTACCTGGCTAGACAAAAATGCAAATATTTCTGTGTTTCCTTAGAGTTAATATGCTTGTTTATTTAGAAAAACCATAAATTGCCCATCAGTATTTTGTTCAAGACCCATATTTTTTAATATTAGCATAGTCTGTAGTGTGAAGGGGAATAAATGAGACATTTGCAATCAGAGTGCAAGAAAAATTAACAGTCCAATAATTATCTTCTCTGAAGTCTGAATAGATGATATCAGATCAAAGTTAGCTACATCACATGGTAGCAAGATGCTTTTGATCTTTTAAATAATGAGGATATTTACAAGAATCAGAAAACATTTCACAATGGAGTTCTTGACAGTGTTTTTAAAGAGCTAAAAATAACCTACTCTCTTGGACATAGGTCTAAAATGGGAAGAGGTGAATAAATTTGCACGAAAAGATAATATATTTTGCTAAATTTCAATTTTGTATCATGGACTTTTAGCAATATTTTGCCACACCTCTCTATGCAATGAAAATGAAAGGGTCCAGTGCAGATAACCCAGTTACTATATAAACCATCTGCGTGCTTGATAGCTTTAGAGAGCTTAGTGTTTAAATAAATGTTTGAAGATGATTAAATGTGTTAACCAGTGTCAACTACAGTTGTTTTTAAAATATTTTCTAGCTTTCAGAATTGTATTTTGGGATTGTTCCCTATTGCCCTCTGAGGGTTGTTTGTTTGTTTGTGGTTGTTTTTTTTTTTTATACAGCTTTTCTGTTTCATGTTGTGTTAAGCAAGTCTGAAAGATTGATTATGTATTTTAGCTCTGCCCCAACACCCAAATTGTTCTGAAAGTGACAAGATCCAGAATAAAAGAATTTCTATATCCTGTACCTAGAGGTAGAATCTCGCTCTGATTGCAGCCCTGTTTGGTAGTGGGAAAAAGGCTTGGGATTTCAGGTCCTGGTAGAGATCTAGGAGAGAACTAATTCTATAAACCCCCAGGTTTCTGTATGTGTTATAACTGAACTGATAGATTTGCTGATATGCTGTCATACCTCCTTTTTTTTTTTCTTCGTGCTTCGTATTTGGATTGTCTTTTAATTGTGTCAAGGATATTCTATGGATACAGGAGGGGAAGAGCACTGCATTGTCTGAAAGTTATGTCGACTAGTCTTTTCATAATAATGCACATATTGAAAATAATTCTATCAATACCTCTGAATCAGGCAGCAATTTTTAAATTAATCAAGATTGAGCTGATATATTCCTTATTTTATTTCCATAAAGTGTCCCTTAAGGAGGAATAGAGAAGGTAACAATTCTCTAGTGGTGTTGGGTCAGGAATGCTAGTTTTAGATACTCTTAAGTCACTGTCTAGAGTAAAAGAAAGTAGCAGCAAATGCCAAAAAAAAACCCACCTGGATTTGAAAGACAGTTTTTGCTGAGAAAAACTTGCTTTTTCTGAACATCCATATGTATAAGTTACAAATAACTTGACTGCAATCCGGAAACATTTTTACTATGCACATGCCTTTTACTAAGAAATTCTTAATATGAAGTGTTTTTAGCACTGGGTTTGTTTGCTATTGCGGAAGAAAAGCTACATCAAAGTTAAGTCTACATGAGACAAGTGGCTTATAAATTCACCTGGGTTTTCAACAAGGGTGACTGACTGTAAGCACTGCGCATCTTGGTTAAATCAGTTTTACTTCTGGCTCTGCTGCATAAATTCCTTTAGCAAAATGGTTATTCAGAGATCAAGGTCATGGAAAGTACTGCATAAAGCAGGCATGGATCCTGTTGTTGTGTATGAATCACTTAAGTAGAAAGTAGTATTAAGAAGGAAACCCACATCAGTGTAACATGGCTTGACACAGCAAGGAAAGCAAGAAAAATGAGAAGCCCGTTAACGTTTTCTTTGTGAGAGCTGCTTAAGTTGGTCTCAAAACTGCATTGGTCCTGAAATATTTGCAAAAACAGTTACAGACTATTGCTAATGTTAAACCCCGTGATGTACCTGAGTGGTATATTTGGAAAACCGATTCCCAAAAATACAAAATATTATCCACTGTTACAAACCTGTAGAGGAGTAGGCAAATTTTCAGTGGATGGACAGTGCAGCAGTTGGTGAACCCAAGAAAACTTGAGCAACTTAAGGATCTGTTTCTGTGCTATCCCATGTTGTTGAGTGGGTTAATTTTGTTCATGTCTAGCGATCTTGTTGAGGAAATCAAGCACAAAACAGACTATTTCATTGTCCTCTGCTCTGAGTTTATAGACTGGACACAAGGGGAAATCTTTTGCAATGAGAACAACCAGCCAATGGAATAATATCCCTATGAAAGTGGTGGACTTGAAAGTGGTCTCCCAATGAAAGCAGTGGACACTTAATGTTTGGCTGGAGAGAGTGCTGGGACATATAGTCTAGGTCATGCTTTGCTTAGAAAGGTTGGATAGATGATCCTTGAGGTCCTTTCCAACCTGGTATTCTGTGATTCTTTATGGAACAGGATATATGTACATGTGAACTGGCAGGATAAAGCAGCACAGTAATATATGCTCAATCTCACAATGATTTACTTTAGGCAAAAATAAGACAAGGGAACACAAGCCCCAACCTCTCCCCAAAGCAAAGACTGCCTGTCACCTATTCTTTTTCTTGATAAGTTTCAATACTGAAAAATTCTGTGGAAATAGACATTTTGATACCATTCCCTATATTTCCTGCTAGTATAGCTTTGAGTTTGTGACATGGTAATGTAGGTTTTCCACCCCTCCAGCTCCTCTGTCAAGTCAATCAGACAGAAGCATCCAATGTGACATCCTTTTACCCTTTCCCAGAAGGTTGATGGAGTTGAGAGGTCTAGTTCTTACTGAGATGAGAAAAAAATAATGTTATCATCACCTGAAAATATGAAAGTCAAGTACTTAATTTAGCCTTTGGGAAGAGATGACTTTTTCAGGGTATTGATGTGGAACAGGCAACACAAGCTCTGTTGGAAATACTGCTGCAATGGAACCAGGCTTTCTA